CGCATACAAACCTTCTTATGGTCTTACTAAAATCCTATCAACATACTGATATATTTTATGCTGATCTAATATGAATTTGAAAAGTCAAAGTATTAAATGGAAATTTTGAATTGATAACTATCTAATAAAACTAGGTTTACGATGGATTTGATTGATACTTGTTATTTTATCCACTGAAATATTGTTATTCTAATTTCGAAAGCACCATCAAATGAAGAGAGAATACCATAAATTAAAGAAACTTGAAATCTGAAACACTAATGTCAATAAATTTGCAGCATTAACATGAAATTTGTAATATAGTTTCCTTGAATTCATCAACAACGTCAATATGACTGGATTTTAGTAGAGTAACCAGTTATGTGTAAGATGTGTTCTTCTTCGAATATATTAGTTCTTGTTTTACAAGGAAGAAATATCATCTTTTTTTATTGACAGAAAAGCTTCTCTCAAAATGATTTTTAGTACTCCTGCAGCACTAGAGAAACGAAAGGAATATCATCTCATCATAGGATATCGTAGATCATCATTATAGATTGTCTTTTAAGCAACAATGATCCACATGTATGTCATCGTTGGACTTTATCAAATTTGATTAATAACATTGAAGCCGAATCAATAATTAAACTAATTAAAATTTGTAATAGATTAGAAAAATTTTTGTTCTAAAGTAGAGCATGACAATGAAAAAAAAAAGATTTTAACCTTTTTTTTTCGATGCATATAAATAACCATATAAATCATAGTTTTAGTGAAATTTACATGAAAAATAATCATTTTCAGCACCAATCTGATCTATCCTTCACGCATAACAGACAAAAGTTTAAATGAAAATTTAAAATCTATTTTCGAAATGCTTTAGAGTTATTAAGCTCATCCTATTGAACAATTTTAGTATTAAGGGCGCCTCTAAATTCTTCATAGATTTGATAAAAGTTGAGTTTTAGTGTGCCCGACTAAATTTGATGAGATTATACATTTATTCCACAAGTGCAAGGACGATTATACAATTATTCCATATGAGGTAAATGTATACAGTTTTATAGAGAAAACTTTAAGCAATCGATTAGTAAAAACAATCAGAAAAAGAAAACAAGTACCAATCGTTGAAAAATTAGGATTTAAAAAATATATCAGAAATGTTTGATATTAAACATTCTCTCAATGACATCAGCAAGATTATACATTTTATCTAAACAGGGTAAATGTATAATCGAAAACTACTGTTCAAAGAATACTTTGTAAATAGGTGTGCTTATAAGATTGTGAGAAAAGTTTTTTACCAATCGATAGAGTATGATAGCAGATTGGTGTTTTATGAAGAAAATTTAAAAAGAAAACTAAAAAAGTTATAGTCATTTTGCTGAAAACCATTGCATTGTCTTCTATATTTACTCCTGTTTACTCTATATAGAAAGATGACAAATAAAATAAATTACTTTTTATTATCAATATAGGACAATAACAGATAAAAAATTATTTTCTATATATTCGCTATAAAGACAATACAAATAGATGCCTAAGCATATAGTAGTATAAAAGTTAAATAATATATTATTCTCTATATTATCAAGATACATAAATAAGAAATAAAACATTAATATACAAGCACATAATTTAGAGTAAATCAAATATTATATCGTTTTCTATATTATATATATAGACAAATAACAAATATAAAAATATTTTGTTTTATATTTTTAATATCGAAAAATAGAAAAATATTCCCAGGCATATAGTAGAAAAAAATTAATTCATATATTATTTTCTATATTATCAATATAGCAAAATAAGGAATACAGAAAATATATGTTCCAGTATATAGTAGAGGATACATAGAAAAAAATATAATTTTTCATCTCCTGATCGTCTTAGAAAAACTTCAACATCGATATTTTTTCTGTCGAAATATTTTGTGAACAAAAAAAACGTTCTCTATTATGTGGAAATTTCTGAGATATATCTGTACTTTGACTAATCTATTATACAAAGCCTTTATTTGTGAAGTCAAATATGATTTTACGATTCCATTAATAGAAAACATTGACTTGCGCAAGACAATTTTGTGTATTTTGTACATTTCTTTATAACAGAAACTATTGAATCAACAATTCTCGAATAAAACAACACGATAGATCATACAGGATCTTATAAGATCTGATACGATATGACATCCATTGTTTTGACTTGAGATAAGATTCTTGAAAGATCTCACCATCGCATGAGATTTCATATAATCTTATAGTGATATCTTACAAGGTAGTAAGATCTCTAAGACTGCGATTTTTCGTACATTTTTTCATACATTTTCGTTTGGTCCAGAAGATCTTATATCTGATTTTTTGACCTGAGTTGATACAAGTTGACAAAAATTTAGTGAAATCTCACCGGCATACTCTATGCAAATGCTTAAGAGATACTTCGGCAGATCTGCATTCATCATTCAGAAAATGATGCGAAAAGCATCCTCAAAGATACATACTGAATTCTTAAGGTTCTACAAAACCATACAAAATTACGTTTGATATTTGTTGTTCAACATGCTCCTAACAAGATATAGATAGAATCGTCTCAGAATTTTCCCAGTTTAGGAGTTTCACATAGTTCATTATTTCATTACTTAAATTCTTCTCTGATATTCATATAAATGATCATCCTACAAAAAGATTCTGCTATGTTTTTTTATCAAAAGCTTAGATGGAATTAGGATCACTCTTTCTTTGAGGAGCTCCTTACAGCAATCTCCAGGTGTTATTTTTACGATCGAAAAGATCTTGTCAAGAACTAAAAGTGACATAGATGTAAGAATCGTTACCAAATCCTTTTTTTCTCATAAGAAACTAGGAAAAGACTTCTGAATTTTTATCTGCGAAACGAGCATTTTCAAAGACGAATGTCATATTTTGTAGCGCTTACTCCCACAAAAGATGAGATCCCTTCGATAACGATGATTTCTTTTCTTTTTTGTTGATTGTAGTAATTCCTAATATTCCAGTCGATGCTCGATGGGCACAGAATGGGGTGACTGTTGCTGGTGGTCATGGACAAGGCAGTGCCACCAATCAACTCTTCCAGCCTCATGGTCTCTTCGTTGATGATCATCAAACGATAGTCATCGCTGACTTGAACAATCATCGTATCATCCAATGGAAGATGGGTGATACGAATGGACAGGTAGTAGCTGGTGGCAATGGCCAAGGAAATCGATTGGATCAATTGTATTGGCCAACCGATGTGTTGATTGACAAAGAGACGGATAGTCTCATTATTTGTGATCGAGGGAATCAACGAGTTGTACGATGGTCTCGTCGTAGTGGTACAACTCAAGGAGAAATTCTCATCGACAACATCCGATGTTGGGGATTGGCCACGGATGATCAGAGATATCTCTACATCTCTGACGACGAAAAAGATGAAGTAAGCCGATATCAAATAGGAGACAAGAATGGAACTCTTGTGGCTGGTGGCAATGGCAAAGGTGCTAGTCTCAATCAACTCAACTTTCCGTACTACATCTTTGTCGATCAACAACAGACTGTCTACGTGACAGACCACGTCAATCATCGTGTAATGAAATGGAATAAAGGTGCAAAAGAAGGAATTATCGTCGCTGGAGGTCAAGGCGAAGGGAATGCTCTGACACAATTGGCATACCCTCAAGGACTGTTCGTCGATACATTGGGTACCATCTATGTGGCAGACTCGCATAATCACCGAGTGATGCGTTGGCCTAAAGGAGCGAAACAGGGCACTGTCATTATGGGTGGAAATGGTCAAGGAGCAGGAGCAAATCAGATCAACTCTCTCCGAGGTTTGTCCTTCGATCGACATGGCAATCTCTATGTCGTCGAGTATGGGAATGCTCGTGTTCAATGTTTTTCAATCGAATAGACTCGTCGTGATAGATTTTTTTTTGCGTTCCGTTCCTTTCAAATAAATCACAGTGAATTGATGAAATGAATGTCTATTCTATTCGCGCGCGCGACCAGGAACCATCCTGGTGGAGCCGTGGCGAGCGTAACGCTCATGCACGCACAGGACAGACTCATATCATTCATACCCTCCCCGCGAGAGATATGTCAATGAGTCTGAATAAGCCTGGTCGTGTGCCACGGACACCAAGACAGTTCCTGGCCGGTGTTTTAGGTCTAAGTCCGGAAGACCTGATAGATAACAGAGATCTAACCTCAATGGACATAACTCACCCCTTCCCCCCACTAACACTCACTTTTCTGAGTCTCAGCCTAACCCTCCTCAATCTCAATCTCACTATTTACTCTCATCCCCCCCTCTTCCCTATTCTCATCTCAAAAACAAAAATACTTACTCGCATGTTTCGATGTTGGACGACGATGTTGTTATTGAGGACGCGACGCGATGATAGACTAAAAAGAAAAAGAAAAATTTTTATTTAATCATATATGTTTAGACAAGAAGAGAATAACTTACCCTGCTGTTGTCCCTCCTAGTGACTTTCCATTACCTAAAATAAAAAAATAAAAAAAATTTCTACTTACTTTAATTTATTTAACTCGACATAAAAGAAAAGAAAAAAAAACTAGTTAAAAAGGTTTTTACTTACTTCCATTATTTAATAGCTAGAATAAAAAAAAAAAAACATAAAACAAATCAATGGAAGACTTACCGCCCTCTCATATGATTTTAAAAAAGAAATAAATGCGGAAACTTCGGATTTAAATCCGAGAGTTATGTGTACTTCAAAAAGTGAATTAGACAGATGAGTCATCCTAGAATATGTGGATATCAAAATTATACTGCGAAACCTTTCATATAAACCGTTTATTTCTGTTGACTATTGATCCATCAATAGAGCTTAGAGGCGAATAGAGCTCAAATTTGAACTCTTCGCCTTGATTTACCCTAAGAAAGTCGTTTTTCCTATAACTTGATTTCTATTGGTCACTGCTCAACCAATAGTATTTCGAGGCAAGTGGAGTACGGATTCGAGTTCTCCGCCTCAGAAAACCTCAAAGTATCAACTCTACGATCGGAAGATAGAGCTCGAACTGTGAGTCAATTAGATGGTGGACAAAAACGGAGCCTATTTCGGTTTAATTATCTTTGTAATAGGTGAGTTAGCCTTCTCGTTCCTTTATGTTTTATATACCATTTTGCAGCTCGTGAAATTCTCTATCGAATGGTATATAATAGTTGGGGTTTTATTTGACTATGATGGGAAAAGTTTTTTACGAAAGCGGAGATAGGTCGATTCTCGCATAGGAGGGCATAGGGAAAAATGACTATTTTTGCAATAACTCACGAATGGCTCGGCCGATCATGCTCATCTTCTTCTCTCGACCGAGACGTTGTTAAAACTAAACTGTGTAGAAAATTTCATCGTGATCTGACTCTCCTTTCAAAAGTTATCGTGTAAACGGCCGGACGGACATACTGACCGATTCTAGAGTGTACTCACTTTTTGAGTACACAAAAAGCTGATGAGCTGTTGCAACACGAATTCATTTCGAATATTCGTTCGTTTATTTTCGTACTCATCTCATTATTCAACATACCCGATGTCTATATTCTTGTTTTTTACTTATTCGACTATGTACACATATAGATGTTTGAACTCAATAGAATTGAAATTATTTCGTACGTGTCGCAAAGGTAATTTAGGACATGAACTTATTATTGTTGAAAATATGGAAAAATTTATGATCAATTTAAATAATAGATTCAAGTTTTTTTTTAATCAAAAATTGGATCAATTTCTCATTGTTTGTTATGGCAGGTAAGTTATAGATATCGTTGTATATAAGATTCTTCTATATTGATATAAAAATAGGAGGTTCTGTTTTAAATTGTCTTTTAATTAATGGATTTGATTCGTCAACGCAAGATTTAGATTTTTTCTGGTTAGGTGGTAGTTGGACTTTGTTCGTTGCAGCCATTGCACGATCCGAAAGAAAAGCAAAATCGAGAATTTTTAGAAATGAAAAATATTTACGGCATTTTAATTCAATTTACTCTTTTAATTGATAATGATCATACACTACATATTCAATTTATATTTGGACGAGAGACTTCGAATATGCCATTCATATTATATACTTTTGATCTAGATATTGTACAAGTAGGCTTCGATAGTTTTAAAAAAATTTCAGTACGTCAACATAAACTACTTAATTTTCTTATCTATTTTCTCGTTAAAGACTATCGGTTTTTTCCAAGCTGTTGCTACGAGATCATTTATTTCCTATCGACTTACCAATGATATTCATGATACTATTTATTATTTAGATTGTTGTTTTAAATATAATCAAAGAGGCTTTTCATGGCTATGTCCGACTGAACACAATGATTTTTTAGCACAAAAAACACTTGTTACTGAAAAAAAAATATATGATTACGGATTTAATGATTTCTATTTCAATGTTGATCCATTCAATGTTCAGATTTAATTTCTTAATTTTAATTTATTTAATTAATTGTATTTGAAATGTTAAATATTTATTACATAAATTTTACTTTAATAGCCTATGATTTTCAATCAACATAAAAATATATCTGTTTCTTTAATTATATTCAATCTTACATATAATGATAAATAAATCATTTTTGTTGTACTATCATCATTTCAAGTTATCATAAAAAATTTACAATAATGACTATAATATGTATCTTGAAACATGATTTTTATTCTTAATTATTCAAGAACATCATTTTTCTAAATGACTTTTAAAATATTACATTAAATTTAGTCTTAATAATTTTTTAATCATTATTTCGAACAAGACATTCGTATGCACCAAATAACAAAACGTTTCTGTTACAAAAAATCAACTTTTTAAAAGGGTGTGGGTGTGGGTGTGGGTGTGGGTGTGGGTGTGGGTGTGGGTGTGGGTGT